GAGTGAAGCCGCAGAAGTCGAAGCGCGAAGTGGCGAGGGTTCACTGTACTTTTCCTGGGACATGGTTGATTAATTCCTTAAATTCCATCCTCCCAGGAAAGGTCACCTGGGAGAGGCCTTTCCTGGCTCCGGGAAGCATTCGCCCGCCCCTTGCATTTCCCCAGATAACAGCTCATCCTCCAGCTTGTCTCTTGTTCGACTTCCCCACTGGATTGTTTGTTCCGTGAGAGCAAAGAGGTATTGCATGAATGCATTTCCTAACAGATCCGTCTTCTGTGGCATGTCTAGTGCCTTCTCGCTGGGCGTGCTGATCCACCTTCCAGGCTCCTTGTATTCCCCAAGCACAGGGGTGCCTTCCCACCTCTTCCTGGATGGCTCCTCACCTCGCCTGCCTGCCTGCCCGGCAAAGCCCTGCCCTGGCTTCGAAACCCAGCTTCCCTGTCCCTCCCTGCGAAACCACTCTCAGCAGCCTGCTTCCTCCTTGGTCCTCCCCAAGGTGCTTGTACACACACACCTTTATCACTACACAAATAACGCTGTGTTGTAATGAGCTGCTTGTGTGTCTGTCTCTCCCTCACTGGCCTGTGCTCATTCAGGGCAGGGCTTGGCTGACTCAGTTCTGAATTCTCAGTGCCCAGCCCAGTGACTGCCACATAATGGGTGCAGTGAATGGGTGCTGGATGGAGCCCAACTCTGCCCTTTTACTGCCTGCCTGCATCCAGCGGGCATCACTGGGCACCTCTTGTGTACAAAAGTGCTGAGCTAGGCCTGTGTCCAGAGAAAGGTATATTGGGTTGCAGAGGAAAACGATTCAGGTCCCTTGCCAAATAATTCTAACGCAAGCCGGAGTGTTTACCTCTAATTGGTGCCGGCACGGGACTAAGCTTGTGTGTTAATTTCCTGTTACTACTGCAACAAATTACCGTGAATTCCGTGGCTTAGAGCGACGCGAACATCTCGCCTTTCTCTCCTAGAGGTCAGCAGTCTGGAGCGGGCGTCACAGGGAGAAACCCCTGCTGTTGGCAGAGCTGTGCTCCTGCAATCCGTGCCTCGCTGTGCCCAGCCTCGAGAGGTCACCCTGGCGGAGCTGTGGGTTAGGTGCTGGGCAGCTGCTTGTTGGGAGAGAGATGGGATTGTCTGCTCCTGTCAAGATGGACCGTCTTGGAAGTCCTCTACAGGGGCCCTCAGAGTTAGAGTGAACTTGATGGCTGTGTTTGGGTGTTGGAGGCTGCTCACCCCCCTTGGCCTGCGGCTACCATCTTCGGACCTTTGCCTCCATTGTCCTGCCTCCTTCTCCAACTCTGGCCCTCCCACCTCTCGAGTTTATAGAGACCCTTGTTATGGGAAACAGAAGGATTTCTTCCAACTTGTCTCCCCCAAATATATGCCAGACTTAGCTGCTTGAGAATGACTGTACCCTTGGAGGTCATCAGGAGTGGGTTGGGGGTCATTCTCCCTGAGAGCTATCAGCTGTCTAGACCAAGCAGGCACCACTGTTTATCCCACTCCCTTCTGATAAGGGTAGTAGTTGTCTGTTTCCTTGTAGGAGACCCCAGAGAGGTCAAACTGGCCCAAGGATGACCAAGGTTAGGCTGCCATCATGAATCTAGGGTCCACCCATCTTGTCACATGTATACCCCATAGACCTCCCCATTCCTATGGGCACACCACCCCTAGCTCAACCCCTTCCTGTTAGGCTTATGCCTATCATAGATCCCCTTCCTATAATGTGTATGCCTGTTGTACTGCCCCTTTCTGTGACGTGCGATTCTATAATCATGTCCCCCTAAAGAGATAGAATGATTGGTTGGCAATAAAGAGAGGAGGCTCCCCGGTTCTTGGTCCCCGAGGCTGCTCCTGCTCTCGTGGCCGGGTCCCCCCCCCATGAGGACCATTAGGCGGGGCTGAGGTGAGCATGCGGTGTCTGACTCCATTTATTCCAATCTCTCCTTTAACTCTCATGTTCTCTATGACTTTACTATAATCCTTACTTATTATCGCTGTACAATTGCGCCTACCAGACCTGCGATGATTTGTGGGGGACCCTCTCTCCCCTTAACCCCACACCCTGTGATTGCTTTGGGCCCAAACCAGGTAGTCCAGGAGGGTCCCTCCATCCTGTTTTCTTTTGTTGTGCAAGGGATTCGACAAGGTCACCTTTGGGGGCCATGCTGCTGCCTTGTGGTGGTGATGGTGTGTTGGGGGGCGGTGGTGGCCTCTCACTGCTTTGGGAGTCACTGAGTCCTTACAGCATCTGGGTGTGTGTGTGTGTGTGTGTGTCCACTTGCATACGCCCTCTCATTTTGTCTTTTAAAAAAGAATCAGTTTTACAGGCACAGCCTTGACATAGCACACGCTTCAATCATTCAATCCTATCAAGGAGGATTGTATGATCATTCGCATATCAACTTTAGAATGCCCCCCCCACCCAGTTAAACCACCTTTAGGATGAGTTGTGCCATCACAGGCTCCCCCTTCGTCGACCACCCTCCCTTGGAAGAGGCTGTGGCCGAGAGAAGGAGA